TTGGCGGTAAAGCGGTCTGTGGCCTCCGCAGAGCGACGACTCGGACGTGTGGGACGACACGGCCCTCATCAAGGCGTACGACAAGGCGGTGGCCTCCTTCAAGGTAAGGGGGGCGGCCCGGGCGCAGCTAGACCCCGGGCTGAGGCCGCCGGGTTGCCTTTTATTGTCTTCCTCCTTTCTTTTCCCGCAGAACGCTTTAAAGAATGGAGAGTGTTCAGAGCCTTCGGACAAACAGGAGCAGCGCCTGGGGATGAAGAGAAAAAACAATAAAAAGAACAGAAATAGAAAGAAGAGCAACACAGTGCCTTTGAAACAGGTCACCGCGCCTGTAAATGCTAGTGGTGCTTGCGTGTTGTACTTCTCTGTGGTACTAAAGAGTAGCTTTTTTATCACCTCGAGAATAACATTCTGGGGTGGGGGAGTAATAGTGTTATAAACCTTATTTATAGATTACATTGAGCAATTTCACTAAATACAAAGGAAGAGCTTCCTGGGAGGGAGTCATCTTTCTCATGGTTGGGACAAAAAGTATTTTAGAAAAGAGCATCTTTCTGCATCTTTCTCTCTGATCACTGGTGTAGGTGTTTACTTGCTGCTCTTCCTTCTGTTGCAGTGGAAGGTTGGTGACAGCTGTAACGCTGTTTGGTCTGAGGATGGTAATGTGTACCTAGCAACTATTGCCTCCATCAATCAGAAGAAAGGCACATGTGTTGTTACTTACACGGGATATGGAAATCAGGAGGAGCAGAACCTGTCTGATCTATTTCCTCCAGCCAGCGATGAAACAGTAAGTAAGTGGGATGGGGAATTTGGGGCGGGTGAGGGACACTTTTTCATTCTTCTGAAAAGGAAAGAGAAAGTGGGAGAATCAGCTTTTTCCAGTATTTCTGGTACCACTGCGGTGTTCAGAGTGAGAATCGGTACCCGATTCCACTGTGAACGGACACAAGCTGATGGAGGGAATTAAACCATCCCCTTACTTCTTGAACCCAGCGTGGAAGAAAGGGAGGGGACAACAAGAAATTCATGAGTGAAAGACAACATAGCTAAAATGGTAAGCAGATAAGATTACGGGGTTATAAAATCTTTCCTGAGTAGGACTGGGAGGGTCAGAGAGAGGGAAGGATGTGGATGGGGTTTTCCAAGCTTTTTCACACCAAAATTGCTTGCTGTAAACTCCTGTTTAGTGCATCTCATAAAAATGTCTTGGTCTTCTAGAATGAAAATGAGACTCCATATTCAACAGATGAAAGTGAAAAATCTTCCCAGTCACCTCAAAACAAAAACAACTGCACAAAAGCAAGATTCTCCCCTCAAAACTTACGTTTTCCCACACCACCAGCAGCCCCAGGCCTGGGAAGGGTGAGTTCAGCCTTATCTGAAATAATTCATATACCACTTTTAAGCCTGGTGTCTGAATTCTGAGACAATAGGATGATATTTATCGTTGTCTAGAAACCAAATAACAGCATTTTGAGAATGGATATACAGATAAGCATGTTAGAACCTGTTGGTATGTCATTTTATAATAATCTGGCCACAGTGTAGCCCTTCTGCAGTGCTGCTGTCTAGTGAGGAAAGCCTTCTCCCTAGCTAACACTTGCTTTGCAATTGCTGTGTAACTTAAAAGAGGGATGTTGTTCCCTGGACTGTGATAGTGCTGTTAATGATAGCACAGGACATTGAAGACAGCAAAAGCAATGTCCAGATGTCATAGAAGCTCCCAGCTGTAGCACCTCTGCTGAATTATGAGGACTCTTCAGTTCTCCTGTTGTTGTAGGAGCCTAAATAATAGTGCGGTTGAATGCAGCATTATGTTTTCTAAATATTACTGTTTGTGCACGATTTCTTTATAAGGTTTCCTTTATATCTTTTTTTATTCATATCAATAGATTTGTATCTAAGTTCATTTTAAAGACATTCACAAGCATAATGGAATTTAGTTAGCACATGCCCCCTGCCACACAGGAGCAGAGAAATTATCTGTTTGCCTGTGGGCAATATTAGATATGTTTGTTCACGTGAGAGTGCAACCACTGACTTCTATTTAGAAAAAAACTTTTTAAAATGCTTGTATTAACTAGAACCCTGTTTCAGCACTGTTTATCTCAGTGGCACATGTAATGTAGGTTTTACTTTTCCAGTCACGGAATGATCCGCAGAAATAGCTACTGTGTGTTATTGCAGTTTCATTAAGTTGCTGGCATGTGTTGTCTTTAGTTTAATGTTTGTGAGTAGCTTCAAATAATTCTTTAAAATAAAATCCTAATGCCTGAAATTTCTTTAATTTTCACTATTCAATTTTTTTTTCAATGTAGCCTGGATCAAAATTCAGGGCACCTCCATCATTTTTATCTTGCTGGCCTCCACCCTTCCTAGCCGGACCACCGGTAAGTGATAGGAGAATGAGGAAGAAAGTGTCAGAGATGAGTACTGGTGATCTCAAGTTTTCTGACGGAATGCGCTCACTGTCTGTGTTTTTAGAACACATTTCTGTGTTGGAGTCTGTATTTTCCAGGTATTTGATAACGCATTCAGTTACAAATATTACAAGAATCTAGTGCACAAGGTCTGGTCTGCGTTCATTTTGGTGATAGTGAAGCTGTTGGTAAGAATGTCAAGAGAAAAATTATTTGAAGAAACTACACCTTATGTTTGATTAACAGCATTTCACTGATGCAGATAAATATTTTCCCCTAATAAAACTTTTTTTTGTACATTCAAGCTACAGGAATCCTATTTCTCCCAGGCTTTGGAAATTACATGTTTTCAGAAAATACTGTCTCATTTGACTCCTTTTCAGAGAATGCATTGGGGATATGTTCCTATTTTTCAGTTTTATATTTTGATCATTTAGAATTGGTTACTAGCTAACCTGGGATATACCCTACTCAAAGACAGACGTTTCCTTTGTGTTTTCTTAGTTGATTCCTCCTCCACCACCTATGAGGCCAGACTCTCCTGAGGATGATGAAGCATTGGGGAGCATGTTAATAGCCTGGTACATGAGTGGTTATCACACTGGGTATTACCTGGTACGTGCTACTTTTGTCTTGAAATGTCTTTGTAATTTTGCTTTTGCGTTGCTGCTGCTGTTTTCAGCAAGAAGTTAGAAAGGGAGGGCTGCTTTTTAGATCTCTTACTCTAATTTGTGATAGCTAAGTTTAAGGGTATTTTGTGTTGTGTAAGTATTCTTGTCCTTGAGTAGGAGTCACATGAGCCAGCATATATGTATAGTCAATGTTGTTTTAGTTCTTTTTTCCACTAGAGGGGTCCCATTAGGTACTTTTATAGCCACTGTTTTATAGCCATTCTGAAACAACCAGTTCTGTCTTTGTGGACAGGTGGAGTAAATCTGAGTATGTTTATTATTCAGTATTTTTCTATGTGTTTTATTTTGAGTATGAGTGGTGGTATCACATTTAGGATCAGATTTGGCATTTTTGCAGAGACTATTCACCAGTAATTGTTTCAGGTGATTGTGAAGGTCCAGCAGGAGCTGTCAGCATAGTTGTGAAAAATCTGTGACATGGAGTATTGATTTCTGTTTTCCTTTGTACACTTATGAAGAAAGAAGATTACAGGAGGAATTAAACTTTGCATTGGGGAAGTTGGAAGGGGGGAATTGGTGCCATAGGGTATCTTCAAAAGACTAGTTTTGGAATTTCTTGCTTCAGGTTATATATAATTGTGGATTGCTTTAATTTACTTCTAATTGAACAAGAAATACAGATTTGAAATTATTCTGTAGAGCCCCTGATTATAAAGAAGACATGTAGTTTGGCTTTTGTCCTCTTTAAACTGCCCATTCTGATTTCCCCAAAGAGTTAAAAGCTGTTCTTGATTTGTAAAGGGCTAACAAAAATTGTTCAAAAATGTTTTTGTTCTGCAACTAAGGCTTTTATTTCCATGTTAGTAAAAACAAGATTGTACTAAATTGTATCCTGTAGGGTTTAAAACAAAGTCGAATGGAAGCAGCACTGGAGAGAGAAACACATGCAAAATAACTGAATATCCATGACTGTTTTGAAGGATTGTAAGTATCGTAATTTTGTGCTAAATGAAGTTACAGTGTTGCTTGACAAATTTGTTTGAAACTACAGTTCATTTTACAAGCTCTCAACAAGTTTTGAGTTCTGTTCAAAAACTGCAAGCTTCGGGACTTCCATCCGCTCTTATGGGTCTCTACAAAGACCACTTCTGCCAGTATTGATCCCTTCTTTGCTTAGCAGCTGCGGAATAGTATTTTCTTGGCTAGAATGAAGGAAAGTATTTTACTGCTCTGATGAGAGGTTTAACTACAGCATCTCTCTACATCAGGATTAACAACACAGCTTACTTGAATTATTAAGAGTTACCTTCTTTGTTTATGAGCTGTTTTGAAAATAAAAGGTTGTTAAGTGCTTTTTGCATCGATGTACACATCTTCAGAAGCAACTGCTTCTTTATACAGATGGGATAGCAGCACGTGCAGCTAAACTTGTTTTCAGGACAAGATCAACATTTCAGTTTGATGTCATTGAGCAATTCTGTTCTCATTGCTTCAGTGCCTGTGCTTTTATTTGAAATCCTTTGTTTAGTGTTCTCCAGTATATTGTTCAGTTCCTTATAGAACAAAACTATATTCTCCTGGGGATTTGTTTTTCTGATTTTCTGTGACAACATAATTTCTGTGCATTTGAGTAATTCTTGTTTGTTTGTTTAAAAACAAAAAGCTCCTGTATACTAATTTTTGCTTCTTTTTTAAAGCCAGGTACAAATCTTTCCCACTGAGAGGTGTATATCACTTATGCACTGATGGTTGATGGTGAAGATGAGAATTTTATCAAGACAGTTAATATTAACATTTTCTTAACATTGAGCTGTCCCTGATAACAAGTAAACAAATAACTTAAGACTAGTAATTATATGTGCATTGAAATGAGCTATTTCTTAAAGACCTCTAGTCAAATGTATTTAGAAAGCACTGTGGCAATAAAATATTTTTTACTTCCCTGAAACAACTTTAAGTCTTTTTAGCACATGATAGATTTAAGTCTTTTAACCCCACATGATAGATTTCATCTCTCATTTTAACACCTCTTGTATTCCTCAGACTTTTTATCTGAATGACAACACCAGAACTAGCGATTACAGTTATTCTTTTAGGAGACAGCTATGGCAGCAATGTATGTTACAGTGGCCACTGGTGGCAATGGCCTGGAAAACGGTATACTATCATTTTAAAAGAGGTATCTTATGGGTCTGATTAGAATCCTGAATATGACAGCTGGATTCGGAAAGGCTCGGTTTTTGTTTCAAATGCTTGTTAATAAAGTTCTACTTTTCAAACTTTGAATTTAGGGGTGTGGTTTGTTTTGGGGTGGTTTTTATTTTTAGCTTCTGTAGACATCTGTCAGTTGGATGAATGGCTGAAATACACCAGAAAGTTTTGCTGTGTGGCCTTTTTCTGAGTACCGTTACTGAAAGCAAATGAGAAAAAGCAGACTGTGGAAAGGTAACGGTAAGTACGGACTTAGATTTCAGACTTTACAATCTTAACTCTTGTAGAGTAGAGGCTGCAGCCACAAAACTAGACAGTAATGTAGTTAATGCCACTGGTTTGCTTTTCAGGGAAACTAGCCAAACATAGGTCTGAACTTTGCTGCATTCAGTTCCTTTTCCTACTGTGGCCGAGTGTCAGAAAATGAGTTTTCCTGCAAATAATTGAGCAAAAAGAGACAGACATAATCTTAACTTCCCTAAGCCACTTTGAAGGCTTTTTCTTAATCATCTAGCTGAAGTAAATTAAGATTGCTTGCAGTGATGCAAAGCTTCTAAATCGGTTGTTCAGCAGCTGTTCATTGCTGAAGATGCACAACTGCCATCTGCCTTAATCAGCTAGTCCTGTGTTAGTATCTGGCATTATGTTACAAAAAGTGGCCTTTATCAGTTTTTAACACTGGTAAAATCTAGCGTCCGATACTATTTTTAGTGCAGTACTTACCATAAAGCGTTTTATGATTTTTATTTCATAAGTGATTCATGTAATTGATTTCATTGCAAGCAAAACAACTGACTAGAAATAATCTATTTTAAATAGGCTTTAAGCAAAATTTTACATTTTTCTTTGGAAGGTAGCACTTGGGTATGATGTATAACCACATTTGCAAAGCAAGTCAGGTTTTCAGAGTTACGTTAATCCTGTCTCCTATTCCTTGATCCTTTTACATTAACTTAACCCTGCTGTAGAAGAGACTGGCATGTTTCATCCTGGTAAAAATTTTACAATATATGTTTATTTGCAATGCAGGTGTATAATTCATAATACAAGAAGGAAGAGAAAAAAACCCAAATCCTAATGCTTTCAAACTTTTCTAGTCTTGAAAAATTGGTGGAAGTGGCAAGACCCATTGCCAAGATTATTTTAAACTCCTAGACTAGGGATGCTGCTCCTTCATGATATCAAACATTTTAAGGTCCTCTGCGTCAAGGAGCCAACCCATCATTACTATTGTCACAAGACCAGGCAAGCAAGAAACGCGCTGGACAAAAGCCGTCACTGTTGATGCACTGGCTTTGATCTGATGTGTGAACATAGGGCTGATGTCCAGCTCTTCTAAAGCAGGCGTGTTATTAAGTGTTCTAATGAAGTTTCTCCAACCAGTTTCTGTAACATCGTGATTTGCTAACAGAGCTTTTCAAGCTTCTGGAAACCTCTACGGTTTGCAACCTGTGCTGCAAAAATAAACAAGACATCAGTAAGGATTTAAAGGTGCTCCAAACCCATATGAAACATGAACAAAAATACAGCAAAGCTGAGGTTTTGCACATTAAAAATAAAACAAAGTTGTTGCTATTAGCTTGAAAAAAGTAAACTTTAACTCAACTCATTTAGACATTTTAATACCTCAGGCTGAGGAGACTGATACAATGGAGGATACTCTACTCAGCATTAATGTGCCTGCTAAAGTAAGAGACAAATGTGTTTTACGAGTGCTCGAATTCCACTCTTACAGAGCAAGGCAAATACAACGCCAGCTTAGGCACCAGTCGAGGTCAGACGCCAGATCAGCTTTGCACAGATGTAAGATACTGAGTTTAACCGTCTCTTTCCTGCCTGTGTACCATATGCTCTTCCATCTTGCCTTATGGTCAGCCTATTTACAAGATGGGACTCTTGTTATCAAGTCACTATTTATACCAAAATGTATGTCAAAAATAAAGAAGGATGGTATGACAGACTTAGCATTTGCTTACAAAAGAAGAAATTTTCCTTAGCCTATGTATGAGATGGTAGTTTTAAGACTATACTAAAGTATTAAATTCAAGAAATATTTTGGTAATACACAGTTTTAACAGCTGGGGCACACAAGCTAATATAACTAGCAATAAAGTTACGAAGCTCTATTTTAAGTCAGTTTTTTTCCATTGATTATTTTTCTTGTAATTTACATTACTTTGTAGAAGACAAGGGGAACTAAGGAGGCATTTCAAAAGAGGTTTCAGCAAAGTCTAGTGTATGAGCCGTCTTGAATACACTTTGATGAGCAACAAATATTTTGGGCTGAGTATAGAACAAATAGGAATAAATGATACCCATTAAAAATGACAAGTAATTTGCAATTGTTGTGATGTATACAAACAGAAGATTAATTTTTCCTGAAGCAGTATCTCCTCTACCCAGAAATGTTACTTCATGTTTGAAGTTCTCTCCTTCAAACTCACTTACTTCTAACAGGCTGTCATCATCCAGACATAGGATAAACGAGAAGCATCTGAGGTGCGGCAGGTGTAGACACTGCTGAACAATCAGTTTGGCTGCAGGCTATTCCCTTCCCTGCAGGAAGGATGAGCTCCTCCAGGTTAAGACCACCACCTAAATTGTATGCTTCAGAGAGAAGAAGATAACCTTTCCTGTTAAGATTAAACAAGTATACGTTTCCTAAACCTTGTAATGCCAATGAGTGGCAGCAGCAGAGCCAAGTGAAAAAACCATTTAGATTCTAGGCAATAGGTAACTATCAGCTTGCTTTCCTCAGGTTCGCCCCTGCCATTGTTGCGAAGGTCGCTTCACTCTGTAACTTAATAGCTTGAAAAGGTCATCAACAGAAAAGGCAGAACTACTTCTCCAGAAAGGGTCTAAGAGGTCTCATGAGTCCTCTAGAGATAAAAGGAATATAAATAATAAAAAATAAATAAAAGGAATCTTCCATGTTGCCAAACTCAAGGGACCCACAGGAAAGAAAAAGAAATTAGGGTAATCCTCCCTTCCCAAAATGCAAGCCTTTTCAACCTTTCCCTGTTCCCTATAGACGTGGCTTTTGCAGGAGGACCATCTTGGCTTTCAGAGGTGCTGAACACCTCTGATTCCATAGTTTAGGTGTAACTTAATAGCTTGAAAAGGTCATCAACAGAAAAGGCAGAACTACTTCTCCAGAAAGGGTCTAAGAGGTCTCATGAGTCCTCTAGAGATAAAAGGAATATAAATAATAAAAAATAAAAGGAATCTTCCATGTTGCCAAACTCAAGGGACCCACAGGAAAGAAAAAGAAATTAGGGTAATCCTCCCTTCCCAAAATGCAAGCCTTTTCAACCTTTCCCTGTTCCCTATAGACGTGGCTTTTGCAGGAGGACCATCTTGGCTTTCAGAGGTGCTGAACACCTCTGATTCCATAGTTTAGGACAGCCATCCATCTCCCTGGGCTCATCCACCTCAGAAGGACATGAACACATGCCCTTCATCACAAACTGCTTTGTGAGACCTGGTTTAACATTCTAGTTCTAGACACTCTCCAGTATCTCAAATGGCATTTAAGCTGTTCAAGGTATTTCTTAAGATCTCCAAAAGAACCTGAAACAATAGTTCTGTCAAATGCAACAAATTACATCAGCCAAAAGGAAAGATATGTACAAACCAAAGATTTCACAAGCTTCCTTGTCATCAAAATATTGGCTTGTAAGATCCAACACTTTGAGAGAGACAAAATTGGGCAGAGCAGCAGCTAGGAGGAAAGAAAAAAAAGTATGCATTTTCATTCTTGGAACATAAAATGAACAGTTTCTCTCAACTATTAAGTTTTAAAAAGTGAATTTTCTGTATTGAAAAAATTCCTACCTAAAGAAAGAAAATCTTGATCTGTCAAAAATGACCTGGTTAACTTGATTTCTTTTAATTTCTTGCATGAAGAAATTGCTGCCAGAAGGGATTCAGCATTGAAGTAGCTGGAGCAGTCCAGGTGAAAAACAGAGAGGTCTTGGACGCTCTTAATAAATTCAACTACAAAACAGTGTTGCAACACTGGAGATTCACTGTATAGTGAACAAAGGTCAAAAATCGAGAAGGTTTTGCTAACTCCACCTGTGAACTTTACTGTGGAAGGAAGCATATTCTATCACAACAAAAGCAAATGAGAGTGAGAAAAAGGTGAACAGGAGTAGCAGCTTGATTCCTCTGTTTACATGTTAAATCAGATGGCCTGTGTTTTATTTTAGAACTAGAATCACGATGGATCATTCTGGCCTTAAAATGCAAACAAGTTGTGCTATAGATTCATTTCTGGTTTCTTTCACACGTGAAAAATATTCTAGTTTTTCAACATTTAGTGGGATTGAAACTCTTTAAACACCTTCCCCCTAAAGTTATTAGTTTTAGGTACATTGTAAAACTCAATCCAATGGCCAGATACTGAGGGTACAGTTCACTGAATGTTGTTGGTTTGTACTGTATGTTTATATTGAAGTAAAGCTGGGTAACATAAAGCTGGGTAGCATACAAAGAATGGGTTATCTAGGGGCCTGGACTGAAGACTAAGCTTCTTCCTGGAATAAGTCAGCTAAAACAGAAGTCACGACCCGTTCATTGACATGTCAGAGCGGCTATGCACATCATCTGGACTCGTCATCTGGACTCAGTTGCCAATTGTGCTCCCTCTCTTCTTCCTCTCTGTGGACTGTGAGTGGTGAGAAGGGAAAATACTCACTCCAGGAAAACAAAGAGCACAGTCCTGCTCATTCCTCCATCCTAACTTATGGAGGTCAACAAAGTTACAGCACTGAAAGGTTCAGCGCCTCTTTTGTTGCTCAAGGTAGAAGCTGTAGGGCAGAAGCAACAGGGAGACAACTCGGAGATGCTACATGCCTGTTAAATGAGAAATTAAAACTGCTACTCAGTATCAGCAAGTGCTAGTGGAATACCTACCTAAAGTTTTAAAGTGCACCTTACCCAGCCTAGAGCTGTTTTCAAGCTTCATTTTGCTCATCAGCAATTTCTTCATGTTACAGAGATTTTTGAAGCCATCAGGTATTGTATCAAATACATTAAAGTTCTCACATTGACTCACTCACAGTTCCTCCAGGCAGAGGAATTTGTCCAAATTTTAAAAAAGTAGTTCTGTGACAAAGCCAGCCAAACATACAATGAAACTGGGTTGATCTGCTTAATCCCTCTGTTCTTCTGACAATTTGCCAAGGTTTTTGTAGCTGAACTTCACTATCTCACATCCTAATGTCTTTGGCTTCCCTTCTCTTGACTGCTGCTTCCTATCCTCCTTGTACCACTGCCCTTCCCTGCCAACCCATCCTTCGCCGAGGCTTCTGCTGCTTGCAGCCTGAGCATACGCCTGGCAGGATCCCATAAATGCACCTGTGCTGCCCAATATTCTTCTATTTTGAAAGCCCAGTGCAGACCCACTCAGATTGCCCCAAGCAGAAAATGCACGTCCGCCGGTGCCTGCTAGCTTGTCCTCCATACTTGTGGCGGCGTGCTCGCCCCCGGCCCGCCTAAGCGACGACCGCCAGTGGGGGTGGCGACGGCTGCATCCAGCTTATGCTGGGCTTCAGGGACGGATGGCAACACAGTAGCCGAGGGCTGTCCCGAGCAGAGACCCGGAGGTGCTGCTGGTGTGCAAATATGACTATGGGTCAATCCTCTTCCTCTGTAAATAGCGGACAGCCCAGGAGCCCTTTGAGCTCCTCTGCGCGGCAGCGGGCTGCACGGCGGGATCTCCCCTGGAGTAGGGACGCCTCTCGCAGTTACTCCTCGAGGTTGAGAGATTCCTTGCCGCAACAGATCCTCGGTAAGTGACTAACAGCATGCTAAACTTTAAAATCTTAGCTGAGAGATACAAAGGATTGGTTGTGCTTATATAATCCTTTAGACATAAACCGTTGACCAAGTCTGGGACTAGGACTGGATCCAGCTGCACCGAGACTCCTCTCTGAGAAGGAGTCTAGAAAGCAAGGGGGTCCTTTCTGAACCTCACGGCTCAACGGGAGGGTCTTCCTGACAGTTCTGTCTGAGCCTGTCCTCTATGCAGTAAATAATCAAGTGTACCTTGCCATTGAATCTTGTTAAACCAGTGTCGCATTTACCACTGAACTTTGTCAACTCACTGTTTTCTATCAATAAAGTGTGTTGTTGCTTCTCTCTTACGAGTGAAGTGCAGTCTCGCTCCACCTGCGACAAGGCTGCACTATCCTCTGCTGAAGTGCAGTTCTGCCTCTGTAGTGACACACACCTCTTAGATCAAAAACCGGTATATCAAGGTCATAATCTGAAATTAGGGACCAGGATGGAAATCTGTTAATGCAGAATGGCTGCCTATCCCCTGAAGCGCATACGGTAGAAAACAACTTTACTATTCATGGATATGGAGCTGTTCACTTGTCAGGCACCAAGGGGAGAGGAAGAAAAAGGGAACTAGAGAGAAAAATTACATTCTGCCAAAATTCAGTGTGCTGTACCTGGCATTTCTTTTTCGTCTATCTCAAGACATTCCACAAAAGACATTGAGAGAAGTAATTCTTGCTCTGTTATGCTCAAGTTAAGATGATGTAAGCTACATTTTTTAAAATGTTCTTCTTACTGTTCAATAGCAGGTCAGATAACTTCTATGAATCCAGGACTGTTTTTCAGCTGAAGTTCAGTATAATCTGAAACAGAAAAGAGTGTCATCAAATTTCTGAGGTCAGCTTCCTGAAGGGAACTGATGTTGCTGAATGTACATTTTAAAAGTGGCATCTTCCCTGTTGTAAGTAGGAAAGGACACACGATGGAGTCTGGTAGATGTCTTCGTATCAGTGAAAGAAAGCTATTAATGTTTTTTTCTTCTTCTTTCATTTTTTGTGCCATGTCATTAAAAAGTGTAAACACAGGAGAGTAATCCTGATCAATTGTTGACATCTCCAGTGAAGAATAGCAAGCACCTATTTCAGATACATTAAATTCTTATTTGTGTTCACTTCCTTGTACTGCAACCTGAAAAATACTGTGTAGAGGCAGCGATTCTGGGTAATCCTGAAAAAAATGCAACTTAGATTTTTGTGATGATAAAAATGAACTTAACAAAATATCTTTGCCTCTTAGGAACTGAGAAATGATTGGGGCACACACAGAGACAGTATTGCTCTCATAAACTACAGAAATAGCAAAGTCCAGATAGCAAAGTCAAATACAGTCAGCTGTCCATTAAACTGGAGTAATAAGAACCTGAGAATTTCTAGATAATGGAAAAAATTGGCATCACTTCTTCTGGGTAATCCCAGTTCCCACAGTTTCTCTTTGTCCTACTCAGTTGGCTTTGCACCCATCTGGTTTAATGTGGGCTTAGTTAGTGTGTAGCAAGTAATCAAGTGATAAACTTGAGCTAAAAAGCTTTGCTGGACTGACCTAGCTCTGTGCAGAGACATGCTTGTATCTCAGTGCAACGATCCCTAGCCCTCCATGGACTGGAAAAAATAACTGGCTTAGATGCAGCACTGTGTCAATAAACAACTGAATTGCCAGGCTTGCAAGCAGGCTCAGAGAGTGGTGAAGACACATTCAGTTGGCACCATGCGGGCAAAGTAGTGTTAAACTTGACCTAAACATCCTTTCTAGACCCACATTAGCTTCCTAAAGAGCCATTGAGTCTCTGCACCATGCTCTCTAAAGCTGTTGGTCTGGCAGGGTTTCTAAGTTCTGGTACAGAGCATCGATTCTGGATAGAGCCAGCTATGTTGTCTGTGCCCATAGTACAGTTTATCCACAAAATAGATAATCTGCCCCAAAATAAATGTGTGGGGGCTGTACTTTGGTATTTCTGAATAGCTGAAATAAGGTAAATGTACTTCTACATCGATGTAATTGTACAGATATGCAGTATATGTATTGCCAAAAAACCCCACAGTAATCTGTTACATCAAATGAAGCAGTACCATTTTATTCTTTGCATATTCAACAAAAGTACAATGAACCCCAGAAATGCTCACTGGCTTTTCCTGCACTTCAGTAAGAGATGACACCAGAGAGCTCCTTTTCTGAAGACTTTGAGACAAGATAGCGTGTATTTATGACATAGCCTGGGGAACTAGGACTTCCTACCAGAAACAGCCCCAGTCACTTTCAGTAAAATGGAGATGTACGTGTTGGTCAATACAAAGAATGAACAAACATCTTCATTAATAAATTGGCAACTATGACTCTTATTGTTCCCTCCACCATTTCAGTACTATGAGGTTTAAAACTATTATTATGCTTTCAGAGCTCTAAAATGTGCTTTTAGTGCCTTCAAAAATTACAAAACGGCTCTACCTGATACGTATATCCCAAATAATTTTGGCATTTCTGGGAGGCAGTAATAGCCGTTTTCAGATTAACAGAAGGCTGCTAAAGAAAGCATCTGGACAGTGCCACTATAGCAAATTTACTTTCAAGTTATCAACTCTGTGCTTGCACATCAGTACTGTTCTGCAGCAAATCAGTGCAAACTCGTTGTGTGTGAACTCTTCCCTCAGAAATCCAAACACATGTATCAAGAAAACCACTCCCTTGAAATGGCCACAGTATTTGGAAAAAAGAGGCATCAGAAGCAAAAGGTAGTGGAAGGTTATCCCAACTTGGTTTCTTTTGTATCTAAAAGCATGTACATATAATATGTAGTATGTGGCTGATATACATTTGCAATTTTCCAAAGCATGAATGAAAAAAAATCATACCATATTGTCACAAAATAATTTAGTTTGCTTATATGCCTTGTCTGCACAGAAGTGACTTTCGCCTGCTAAGGGATTGGTTTATATTCATAATTACAAAAGCAAACTAGCTGCCAGATTCTCTATTATTTGTTGTCCCTATATATGGACAACCCATAAATCCTAACTCAGTTCTTACTTCAATGAAAATTTTGTCTGACTAAGTAAGGCCAAATCCAGAAAACCATTAACAATCCTCTCAAACTAAAATGTAAATTCAAGTGAGGCTGCACAGTACTTACCAGCTCCTACAGAATGTAGGGTTGCTTTCTTTTCAAGATTTGCTTTACAGGGAGTTTGCTAGAACAAAAATAAATCCAGTTATACTCCCGTAAATATTTATTATTCAGTTCAAGCTGGGTTTCTTGTGTACCAGCAAGCACCAGCTGCTACAAGGACAGTTTACAACAGATGCAGTACTAGCTCTGTATTTTTCAACACTAGCAAAATTCTTCTACTCCTCCCAGAAGCAGGACCTCAGCCACAATGCCCTTCTATCTTTATCTCTCTGTCTCTCTCTCCCCCGTAAGCTTCTTCCATCCCAGGGTTTTGCTGCCTGCCTACCAAGGATACAAGGCCCAGCTCTGATATGACACAGATGCATAACCTTGACGCAGGCTGCCGAGAGAAAGCCGTGAGACAGTCTGCAGAGATGCAAGGAAGATACCGCTACAGGCAGAGGGAGCAGGGTGAGACAGGGCGGCTGATGGCTGGAGGACCCTGCCATGTGCCTGCCCAGCAGAGACCCTTCGTTTGCCTGAGCCGGGTGGTGAGCATGCTAATGCTCAGCCTCAGAGCTCGTAACATCCCAGCTATCTTTAGCATGAGTTAGCGAATGAATAATCACTTTGTACTTCTCAGTTGTGTGTATCCTCAAGGTGCCTGAACAAACCAACCCAAGAGAGGAGCTGTGAGATCTCCCACAATAACACGTCCTGCACAAAACCTCTCCATTAGCTTGCTGCAGTCCCACAAATTGGGACTTGGCTTTCCCCCTCCCACGAGCCTCTCTGCAGTGGTCCCTTGGCAGCCCTGTGGTTCCCCTGTCTGTGCCCGGCACCCCGGGCTGGGGTACTTTGCTGCCGACAGAGCAGCCCAGGAGCCCAGGCACTGTTGCACACATTACAATTTGCCAGCAAAGGAAGATTGCTGCTAATTACTGAAAAGCTGATTGCCAGTAGCTGCCCTGCAGAGACGCTTTCTCCACAACTTGGGTCAATGCCTGCAGGCAGGCAGCTGCTGTTTGGGGGTACGTGTTTGAACGCTGCAGGTACCTGAGCCATGGGGCTCAGAAACACCTTTCCAGAGGCAGAGCGGAGCTGCCGCTGCCTGCACCACGCCGACGCAGGTCACATACCCCCCCGGCCGTTCAGCAACCTCTGAAATGCGGTGCATTCAAAAGGTTGTCCGGGAGGAAGAACTGCAATAAGCTGCCTTTGCTGCTCGTTCTGCGCACACGCGTGCAGAGGCTCCCTGTGGCTGGAACTATCATTTAAAATTGGAAAGCACAAAAACTGCTTCACTAACAGCAAATACTGCAGACAAGCGCAAACCTGTGCAGACTGTAATGTTGATGAGATCTCTGGTTGCTCTTCCAGTTGCTCTTCTGGTTGCTCTTCCCAAGTACTTCCAAGCAGTTGGAAATAGAATGGTGTTTTCAAAAGACACAGCAGTTAGCGCAACGCATTGCTTCAATTGCTTACCTTTGGCAGAAAGATGGAACAATTTCACAAACATTCCTTTTGTTTGGAAACTTCTACTGTATTTCTACATTTAAACATTAATTTAAAAAAGGTACAACATCCTATACACTCAAGAAACATATAGTTATTTATATACATTTAAAGTAGTATTAAAAAAACAACTGCAAAAGTATATGGCAACTTCCATTGCACAGCAGGAAATTGTCTTAAGACACTCTGTCACTCACTCAGGGAACCATTTTGCATGTTCTTCCATAGGATCTTCACCTTCTTCCCATTCCTGAAAGCAACCTGCACAGTTGAAGCACTGTACCCTATCGCCTTCTCCTGCAAGCAAGAAATTACACACCTCAAAAATGGACATGTACATAATTTTTCTTCCTTACTAACATGCCAGCAGCATAAAAACTGCAACAATGCAGTCATTTCATGAGTTTACTTCAGTGGCCTCTACCTGTTACTGGAATCACATGCTCTTTAAATCATGAATAATAAAAATTAAATCAAGGAAAATAAAATGCCACAGAATTGAGAGATGTGCCATTATTGTCCTTTTAGTAGCACCAGAAAAATGAATATACAAGTGCCCAGATAAGTGCTTTCTCCTTTCTAAAAACATATCCTCCTTGCAAGTCTTTGCTCTGGCTTTCACCTCAGACGGGGTCATTCTGTTTCGATTCCCTTGCTCCGGCTTTTGCAAAAGCCATTCTGATTTTGCAGCTGCATTACTCTCCTTACTGAAAGCTAAAGCAAGATTTTAATGAGGTACCCGGACTATCTTGAACCTCTGTCCCACCTGCATTGGTAAGTGGATCTTTTACTTGTCCTGTGTTTATATAGCTAACAAACTTGGCTCAAATCTGTATAAAAAAACCCGGCTTTAGCAAGAGCAGTGGCTTCCACATGGGCTTCTGCTGGCCAAGTTTTAAAAGAGTCCAGTCGAACTCCTTCATCCTCAAAGATGTTCAAGGCGAGATCGCCTTTGCAGCCAAAGATATTTGATTAGTTAGGAAAGCTTTAGCCTGCTATCCAATTCTCCAAAGCAGGGACAGAACTAGATTGCAAATATCTCAGGCTTACAGCAAAGCAAAAACGCTACTGCAGAACCGTATCTTTCAGGTAACTATAAATGTATATTCTTGATTTATAGTACAGATGAAAATCTCTGGTTTTCTTTCAAAGCCTTCAGGTTTCATTTATTTTTCACATCTCTTACACAGGCAAATGCAAGAGAGAGAGATCTACTTCAGCAGCACGTTTTATACTTAGCTTCTATAGAGAACAAACTTTTACTTATGTTAAAAATTTTGGAAATACAGAACCAATAATCTTTCACACATGTAATCTTGCTTAAAAAAAAAAAAAAAACAACAGTCTGGAGCAGCTTTCATTGTTAATGGTGACGTACAATAAAAATATGAAGGCATTAGTTTCTAATGAAAAGCTAAGTCAGTATATTCTATTTTTTTACCTGTTGCAGTAGGTAGATTCCCCTTGATAAAGGAAGCAGTGAAATGCCTCCTCTAAGTGGAAAATTAAAAATTAATATTTATTTCTATTATGCGTTCTATTTTCATTTCACACTTCAGCTAAATGAAAGAAATAACTATAACATACAAACAGGGCTAGTACTAAGTATCAACATTTTAAATGCTTTCAGTTTGAGAGAGGGAATTTTCTGAAACAGACCTGACTAACGACAGTTACTATTAATGAGAAGAAATGGCTCTCCTCAGACAGTAGCAGCTCTAAAGAAAGAAGGATAGCACTGATGCTCTTAAGATATCTGAGGTGGTGTTTTCCAAGCAATACTTGCAGTCCTCTCATCTTACATCAGCTAATGGGTTTAGCTTCCAGATTTTTTGAGATTTTTGAGGCATAGGAGTTTTAATCACGAAAGATCTTACATACGTTATATTTTTTCTGTTGAAAGTAAGTCCCCCCCAAAAAGATGAAGTCACACAAGAAGAGCTGGCAGGGTAGAGTTCACCTAACCTGACTTCAGCCATGCAGAAGTGCTTAGTTTAGCATACTCGCCTACAATCTTCCTAATAATCAATAAATATGTGTAGGTGCCATAAGGAGTTAATTCAACCATCTGCCTTCAAGTTTCGAGTAGGATAAATGCCAATTAGAGGTATGTGGCTTTTCATCAATGGACTACCTAGGTACTGCCCAGGCAACCTGCTTGGACACACATATCAAGGTAAACTTAAGATGAAACAAATGCCACCTAGAGTGCATAATGTTAATTGCATATGCAGTTATATACAGCTTTTGGGTTGTTGGGGTTTTTTTAGGAGAAAGAGGGTGGAAATCAAGATCAAGGCCTAATTTGCCTATCTTCAAGTCCCAGATAGCGTCTCCTTGGGGTGTATTCCATGATAAAGGAAGAATGAAATAACAGATTATAAGATTACCACCACTCCAAAAAATCCACTGTAGGTTTCAATGTACTTTTTAATTTCCTCACTTGATTTCTTACTTTGAAGGAATTCACACCTATAAAAAACCCAAAACATTATTCCTAAGCATTAATTCCAATTAAAATTCTGGAAGCAGTGTTTCAGTTATTAAGAGGTGCATACTCAGGATTTTTCACAACAGAAAGACAATGAAACAAAAGCAAACTTTTTGGTGCTGTCAGCATTGTTCATGCAACATAGTGACTATCTGAGAGAATAATCAGCTGGCTTTTGCTCAATGAAAAGCCCCTGGGAGATCTCTAGAAAGTATGTAAAACAATATATATAGAATAATTATAAGGTTAGGGGCAGCAGACTTATACTGTTCAGTTCTCAGAAATAAGGATCTGCTGAAATCAATTATCTGAATATAACAACCTTGAAGACAAATATGTGGGGTTTTTTTGTTTGCTTTCTGGCATCATTGCTGAGGTAAAAAAGAGATATCAAAACAAATCAACCTTTTTGTACATATAGAAATATTTCTACGACAGTCAGTCAACTTACTCAGGAAACTATTTAGCATGTTCTCTCCAAGGATCATCACCATCTTCCCAATTTCCCACACATCCACCACAAGCAAAACACTGCACTGTATCTTTCTTGCCTGCATGTAGAGAGTTACAGATCTCAGAGATAATCACACATTTGTGTGTTTTACTTCCTCACACTCCAGCCACCTGGTCACGACTATACCAGCCTGTATCGTTGGTCCAAAATTTGTAGCTCAGGGAAGCCTTTTTCGTAGATTATAGCAACTGAAACTAAAAAGGTTTACAAAACTGCTTAGATTTCCATTTCATTTCAGTTGGGTCAGTCTGGGTCTAAACTTGGTGAAGATCCAAAAGTCAAAATATAAGGTAGATCTTTCCATCAAAATAAAACTTCAGAAATATCTGAGAAATTGTACAGGCTTGATAGAATAAACATGTCTTTTTTTGTTGGCTATTTTTTTGATTTTGCATTCTAGCTAGTCAGTTTATTTGTAAAAGCTAAGTAAATGAACAATTCTAGAAACCAATGGAATAAGATGGGAGAACTAGAATTTCTGTCTCTAAGTTAACATATTGATAGTCAGCATAAACGTGATGGAAGAAAGACAGGTCAGCCAAATGCTGTAATGCCAGTAGATAAAATATTTAGGGAGAATTGAGTAAACAGTGCTAGAAGAAAAAGGAATATCAGATCTTAATGATATCTTAGAACAAAATCAAACTAACCAACAAAGAGCAAAGATTTTCTACAGACTGGAATTTCAGGCATCTATTGGAATAACACAGTTCTTGGTCCATATTACCAGCCAACCAACCAGGATGACAAAATTGAGTACGTAATGCTCAAAGAAATGAGAGAGGCACTGTGGGCAAGAAATAGAATTGTACCCAGTGACTCCAGTTATCCCCCAGGTGGACTGCACGCATAGCACCTTGAGATGCAAAGTAGAGACGACTTTTTTTTTTAGAGTCTTTCAGGCATAATCTCATGGGGCAGCTGGTTACCAAGTCTGCAAGGTGATGTGACTTGGTATTGAGAAACGCACTGGGAAGAGCTCAAAGTCTCACGGTGGAAGTGTTGCTGTGTAACCATGATTGTAATTTACCTAGATGCAACATCCCACACAGAAACAGGGAACCTACTAAGGCTGTGTTAAACTTCGAAACCAGGAACTATGTAAAGGTAAGGAAGCTGAAATGGCTGACTAAATACAACCAACCAACCAACCCAAAAAACCCACCAAACCCAAAACCCCCCAATAACTCTTACAGGCATTTGAGAGTTTCCTGAACGATGTTTTACTGGAAGTGCAACACCACTACGTGCTATTTATTAGAAAAGACTTACGAAAAGTTACAGGAAATAAGTATGCTGATAGGAAAATAAATCAGATATTACAAGAATTAAGAAGGTATCATTCAAAAAGCTGAAGCTTTTGAGCAAAGAAAACAGAGGGCTCAAAAGCTCTCGTAGATGAAGTGTGAAAATAAAATCAGGCAGGCTGGAGAAAAAAAAAAAAGTCCAAGAGTAACAAGCTAAAGGAATCTAAACCTTCTTCCAGATAGCAGGAACAAAAAGCCAGTGAAGAAAGCTGGTAGAGCCAACTGCTAACCAGGCTGTAAAAGAACCATTCAAAGGGGACAATGCAATTGCAGAGGACTTGAAGTGACATTCTCTGCAATGTTTGCATTAACGTTCACTGCAGAAGAATTCAGGGAGATTCCCATTGTCTAAACCAGGGGGGGCATACAGCAGAAAGTGGATCCAAAATCAAAGCCATTATGCAATAGATTATGGCTGAGTGGGGACAACATAATGCCAATCTTAAAAAAGCAGTCTGCACCTCTGGGGGAGAGGAAGAGACATCAGATCCGTAAGCCTGGCATCTGTTACAGACAAATAAGCAGAAAAAACTATTAATATGCCACTGTACAAACCCACAGTTAATCCACATCTTAAACAGTGCATGTGATTGAGGTCCCCTCAACTCAAAAAATACTGTATTAGAACAGGAAAAGGTGCAGGGAACAGCAGCAAGGACGATCAAAAATGTGGAACACCTTCCGCATGAGGAACAGTTGAGTTGCCTATCATCTTCAGCCTGGGAAAGAAAGTATTTATGGGGGATACAGTATATTACAAAATGATGAGCGGCGTGAAAAAAACCATTTTACCCATTCAAGTATTGTAAGTAGACATTTTATATGTCTACTGTAATGTAATGTAAGCACATTTTATAAATCAGAACAGAAACCCCTCCAAGCATCGCTTCCAATTACCTGTAAAGAAAAACCCAGCTCTGGCAAGCAAATCGGGCTTCGTTCCTTTGGCGTAGAATGGCCACCCACCAAAGGACTGCAGCCTCGCATCCTCCGTGCTGTACCTGCGGGCGTGCTCTGCTGGGTTCTTCTCCAACTTCTGAACACACATGTCGTACTTTGAAATATCACCCACCTCTTTGCCCAGGACAAATTCACAAGTGGGACAAAATTTCTTGTGCTGTTCGTATGGGGTACATCTAACCTTCATGGTGAATAAAACCAATCCACAGCAAAAACACTGCACGCTGGATTTAACAAGCGTGTGCTAAAACCCAGCAGCTGCCATTTCTGTCAAAGACCATGATGAATGAGATGTATAGGACAAGAGGGACTTTAACCTGTGGTGTTCATTTCTCATGGTAGGGTTGTAACTGTTCTGCAGCTGTTCACGGACTTCTTGGAATTCTGCCTCCATGACTTTGGCAAGCTTGTGAAAATCAAAGGCTGCATGTGGGAAACAAGCTTGCAATGCAGAAGGATTCAGCTCACGTATTTCATTGTCACTCGTCTCCACTGTAGGGTCCTCTTTGGCAGACATTTTCTGAAAAAAGAAGGAAGACTACCAAATTATATTACCTGCATCTTTTAGATAACATTGTCATCACCTCTGTTACCTTAATAACATTGTTTCTACAGTTTATAAACACTTGATTTCACCTTACTAGGAAGAGATGAGGTAACTGGAGAGTTGCTACAAAGAAGTGTATTATAAATCTGACTAGCCAAACTGAGACTTCTGCTAGCTCTGATAGACCACAATGACAACAGCAAGTATCCTGAAGCATTTACAACCAGAACAGAGGGAAAAAAGAGACATAAACAGGTGAGATTTGAGCAAGATGACACAGATCAGTGGCAGATCTAAGAGCTTCATCCTGTAGCTTGAAATCCTAGAATAGCCTCGGTAAACCAACACACCTCTGTCACCTCAATTCTTCCATCTCAAAGCCATGACTGAATGTTGCTAGCAAACTTTGAATTTCTCCTTAAATTAGGAAAAAAACTGAGGTGACAAAACATACAATGCCAAATGGAAGATAGGAAGTAGAAGTGAGAAATAGAGAAAAAAAGCAAAGAAAGCTATTGTTCTATTGCAGTATTTTAAAATTTCAACTGTTTTCAGCGTAAGTAATGACTAGCAGGAGTTGCATGAAAAGGAACTGGGATTTCATAATCTCAAAATGAAATTAATTTGGTAATGAAATTTATTGCCAAACTTACACTGCCAACACTTCTCTCTAGTAAAGTGGTTTTATTAAGTGTTTGGTATTTACACTAGTCTTCTCAAATATAGCTTATCTTGTAGAAGTAATAACTTTTTGTTATTAGTACTGTGGTACGACAACTGTAGAAACTATTTTGCTATGCGACAGTTCAGAACACAGCAAACATGTCTACAGTTCATATGGTTAAATCATGCTCCCCCCCGCCTCCAAAGAGCATTGCTTTGTTTTCTCAAATAATTGAGGGATCTTAAGAGATTTACAACATTTACCAAACAAATTAATCCTTAAGAAAGTGATTCTAAATCCAGAATCTCCAACCTGTTTTTTTTACTCTTTTTCACTGGTTATAAAAATCACATTCTCCTCTCACAGGAAAATGTGTGCTAAACAATTTAAGTGCTTTCAAATCCCAAGGCATAAAGTGCTGCAAAAGCCATGAAAGTCTTCAAGGTCTATTATATTTTGAAAAATTACTTTCATGAATTGCACTATGGGCACCACATTTATTTTTCCTAAATATGGAAACGTGATTCTCATTCAAATTTGATGACTTTTAAAATAACATTCCTCTACTCTCATTCCTTCAGCCAGGAGTCTGCACAATCCAGTCATGCTTCAGAGTCACTACTTTATGGCATTTTTTCACCCATAAGGTACATCACAATCTGGAATTAAAATTGTTCCTCATATTGCATGAGACAGACCAGGATGCCATGTAAGTTCTTTGGGAGTTGTGGTTGTTATACAAAACTGAACCCAGACATTTCTTTTACTCATTGTGGTGGGTTGACGCTGGCTGGATGCCAGGTGCCCACCAAGCCGCTCTATCACGCCCCTCCTCAGCTGGACCGGGGAGAGAAAATAGAACGAAAGGCTCATGGGTCAAAATAAGGACGGGGAGTGATAACTCACCAATTACCGTCACGGGCAAAACAGACTCGACCTGGGGAAATTAGTTTAATTTATTACCAATCAAATCAGAGTAAGATAATGAGAAATAAAACCAAATCTTAAAAACACCTTCCCCCAACCCCTCCCTTCTTTCTGGGCTCAACTTCACTCCCGATTTTCTCTACCTCTTCCCCCTGAGCAGCGCAGGGGGATGGGGAATGGGGGTTGTGGTCAGTTCATCACACATTGTTTCTGCCGTTCCTTCCTCCTCAGGGGGAGGCCTCCTCACACTCTGCCCCTGCTCCAGCGTGGGGTCCCTCCCACGGGAGACAGT